AAGGACTCAAAAGATGCTCCAACATATAACAAGGACACATGCTCCACTATGCACATAACAGCCTTATTAATAATAGCCAGAAACTGAAAAAACTCAGATGTGGCCCTCAACAGAGGAATGGATACAGAAAATGTTGTATATTTACACAATGGAATACTACTCAGCTATTAAAAACAATGACTTCATGAAATTGACAGGCAAATGGATGGAGCTTGAAAATATCATGATGAATGAAGTAACCCAATCACAAAATAACTTGCATGGTTTGTACTCACTGAAAAGTGAATATTAGGCAAAAATCACGTAATACCCACAATACAACTCACAGATGATAGGAAGCCCAAGAAGAAGGAAGCAGGAAAAAGGGGGTCCGGTTCAGATGCAGAAGGACACAGAGGAGAAGTACAGAGGGTCAGGAATTTGAACAGAGGTATGTAGCAGTGGGGGTGGGGAACTGGGGGTAGACATTAGGAAGTCCCAGATGCTGGGGATCCAAGAAGTTTCCAGGACCCACCAGGGCGAACACTAGATCAAATACCCCACAAAAGGGAGATAGACCCTATAGAGACCATATCCATTGGATAGGCATGGAGCCTGATTGACAGATTGGGCCATCCACCCACCTCAAAAATATTAATCCAGAATTGCTCCTGTCTAAAAGAAATGCAGGGACAAAGAATGGAGCAGAGACTGAAGGAAAGGCCATCCAGAGATTCCCTCACCTAGGGATCCATTCCATCTTCAGACAGGAAACCCAGACACTATTGTTGATGCCAAGAAGCACTTGCTAATGGGAGCCAGGTATAGCTGCCCCCTGAGAGGCTCTGCCAGAGACTGACTAATACAAATGCAGATGCATGTAGCCACCCATCTGACTGACCACTGGGACCCCCAAAGGTGGAGTTAGGGCAAGGACTGAAGTAGCTGAAGGGGTGTGCAACCCCATAATAAGAACAACAATATCATAAATAAGGCTGCTATGAACATAGTTGAGCATATGTCCTTGTTATATGTTCAAACATCTTCTGGGTATATGCCTAGGAGTGGTATAGCTGGATCCTCAGGTAATGCTAGGTCCAATTTTCTGAGGAACAGCCAGACTGATTTCCAAAGTGGTTGCACCATCTTGCAGTCCCACCAACAATGGAGGAGTGTTCCTCTTTCTCCACACCCTCGCCAGCATCTACTATCACCTGAGTTTTTAATCTTAGCCATTCTGACTGGTGTGAGATGGAATCTCAGGGTTGTTTTGATTTGCATTTCCCTGATGACTATGGATGCTGAACATTTCTTTAGGTGCTTCTTGGCCATTCGAGTTTCTTCCATTGAAAATTCTTTGTTAAGCTCTATACCCCATTTTTTAATAGAGTAATTTGGTTGTCTGGAGTCTAATTTCTTGAGTTCTTTGTATATATTGGATATTAGCCCTCTATCAGATGAAGGATTACTAAAGATCTTTTCCCAATTTGTTGGTTGTCGTTTTGTCCTATTGACAGTGTCCTTTGCCTTACAGAAACTTTGCAATTTTATGAAGTCCCATTTGTCAATTCTTGATCTTAGAGCATATGTCATTGGAGTTCTGTTCAGGAACTTTTCCCCTGTGCCCAAGTATTCGAGGCTCTTCTCCACCTTCTCTTCTATTAGTTTCAGTGTATCTGGTTTTATGTGGAGGTCCTTTATCCACTTAGACTTGAGCTTTGTACAAGGGGATAAGAATGGATCAATTTTCATTCTTCTACATGTTGTCCTCCAGTTGAACCAGCACCATTTGTTGAAAATGCTGTCCTTTTTCCACTGGACAGTTTTAGCTCCTTTGTAGAAGATCAAGTGTCCATAGGAGTGTGGGTTCATTTCTGGGTCTTCAATTCTATTCCACTGATCTTCCTGCCTGTCTCTGTACCAATACCAGGTAGTTTTTATCACTATTGCTCTGTAGTACAGCTTGAGGTCAGGGATGGTGATTCCTCCCGAAGTTCTGGGTTTTTTGTTATTCCATATGAATTTGAGAATTTCCTTTTCTAACTCTGTGAAGAATTGAGTTGGGATTTTAATGGGGATTGCATTGAATCTGTAGATTGCTTTTGGCAAGATGGCCATTTTTATTATATTGATCCTGCCAATCCATGAGCATGGGAGATCTTTCCATCTTCTGAGATCTTCTTCCGTTTCTTTCTTGAGAGACTTGAAGTTCTTGTCATACAGGTCTTTCACTTGCTTGGTTAGATTCACACCAAGGTATTTTATATTATTTGCAACTATTGTGAAAGGTGTCATTTCCCTAATTTCTTTTCAGTCTGTTTATCTTTCATGTAGAGGAAGGCTACTGATTTGTTTGAGTTGATTTTATAACCAGCCACTTTGCTGAAGTTGTTTATCAGGTTTAGGAGTTCTCTGGTGGAAGTTTGGGGGTCACTTAAGTATACTATCATATCATCTGCAAATAGCTATATTTTGACTTCTTTCTTTCCTATTTGTATCCCTTTGACTTCTTTTTGTTGTCTAATTGCTCTGGCTAGGACTTCCAGTACTATATTGAATAGGTAGGGGGAGAGTGGGCAGCCTTGTCTAGTCCCTGATCTTAGTGGGATTGCTTCAAGTTTCTCTCCATTTAGCTTGATGTTGGTTACTGGCCAGGAGCTGGAAAGAACCCAGATGTCCTTCAACTGAGGAATGGATTCAAAAAATGTGGTATATTTACACAATGGAGTATTACTCAGCTATTAAAAACAATGAATTCGAGAGGTTCCTAGGTAAATGGATGGAACTAGAATTTATCATCCTGAGTGAGGTAAGCCAATCACAAAAGAACACACATGGTATTCACTCACTGATTATTGGATATTAGCCCAGAACCTTGAAATGCCCAAGATGCAACTCACAGGCCACATGAAGCTCATAAAGAAGGAAGACCAAGTGGGGGTGATTCGGTCCTTCTTAGAAGGAGCAACAAAATACTCAAGGGAGCAAATATGGAGACAAAGTGAGGGACAGAAACTGAAGGAGGGGCCATTTGAAGACCTTTCCACCTGAATATCCATCCCATGTGCAGTCACCAAAGGTAGATGCTGATGTGGAAGTCAGGAAGTGCATGCTGATAAGAGCCTCATATGGATGTCTCCTCAGAGGTCTTCAAGAGTCTGACATATTCAGAGGCAGATGCTCACAACTAGCCATTGAACTGATCATGGGGTTCTCAATGGAGGAGTTAGAGTGAAGACTGAAGGAGCTGGAAGGGTTTGTGGCACCATGAGGAGAGCAACAATAGCAACCAACCACAGCTCCCAGGGTCTAAACCACCAGCCTGGGAGCACTTAGGGAGGGATCCAGGGCTTTAGCTGAATATGTAAGAGTGGAGGGCCCTGCTGGGCATAGGTGGAAGAAGAGAACCTTGACCTTATGAAGGCTGGACGCCCCAGGGGGTGGGAATTTTGAGAGTGGGGAGGTGGGAGTGGGGTGGGTAGATAGAGGTTACATCCACAGAGAAGAAGGAGGAGGGGTGAGGGGATTGGGGGTTCCTGGGTGGGTGGGGGATGGGGTAAGGGGACAACATATGAAATGTAAATAAAACATCCAATAAAAAAAAGAACAACAATATCAACAATTCAGATCCCCTAATGTTCCCAGGAACTAAACCACCAATCCAAGAGTACACCTGAAGGGCTCCATGGCTCCAGCTGAATATGTATCAGGCATCAATGGGAAGAGAGCCCCTTGTACCTGTGGAGGCTAGATGACTCAGGGTAGAAGAATGCTAGGGTGCTGAGAGAGTGGTGGTCATGTGGGGGAGCACCCTCATAGAGGCAGAGGCGAGGGGAGGGGATAGGGTGTTTACAGAGGGCAAACTGGAAAGGGGAATAACATTTGAAATGTAAATAAATAAAATAACCTATATGAATAAATAAATAAATTAATTAATTAATTAACAAACCATAGTTAGCATAGTTATGAAATGTGCACCTACGGGCTGGGAGATAAGCAAGTCAGTGAGGTTCCCAGAATGGGGCCCTAGTTTTGATCACCAGCACCCACATTAAAAGCCTGGCATCGTGCTGTGCTTGTAAGCCCACTGCTGCAGATGCAGAAATATGTGGTTCCCTGGGGATGTGGGGCCAAGTACTCTAGCCTACTTCAGGGAGCTCTAAGCCTGTGAAAGACTGCCTCAAAACTCAAGATGGACTGATCCTGATGAATGACATCAGACATCGTCCTTTGACCAGTACTCCACTTACCTAACTTCTAACTGAATACATTTTCCTTTTTGAAGAATCAAATACTAATATGCATGCACAGGTCTGCTTGACATGTATGTGTGTGTGTGCGCACACATACACAAACACACACACACACACGCATACACATTGAACATGCATACATACAATATAGAAAAAAAGAGAACCCTGAAAATTTAAGCAAGTAGTAGAGTAGGCAATTGCCCTCTATAAGAGAACAACAATGAAAAAGAAGGAATTTGTAAATAGTAGCAGCAGTCCTGAAAGTAAGATATCTCATGTTACTCCCATGAGATATGTAATGAGAGATTTTCGAATATTCAGTTCAGGTAAGTCATATATCTAGAATGTCAGATGTTTTAGAAAGACTTACATATAAGGTAAGGACTGGTGCCCCATCAAAGAACTGGGGACTGGGAGTGTAGCTTGGTGGTAGAGCACTGATTTCAAGCCCCTGATTTGTCATATCTATATCTGAGTTACTGTGGGGCAGAAATAGAGAAATATCTGGAAACAAAGACTAAACATTTTGAATCTCGGCAGAAGCACATTTGAAGGAAAGAGCACTGGGCAAACCTTTGGTGTGTGAAATCTTGTGTTCAAAGTTCAATGAGTACTGCTGAAAGGGAATTCAGTAATTTCTTTCCATGTTGTCAAAATATAAAGGAAGGAAAATATAAAAGCAAAATTTTAGAGAGAAAGGAATAAAATTTTGTAACTATCTATAAATTGAGCATGTTACTGGGGAGGAAGAAGTGTAAGAACATCTACCTTTTTTTCTTGTATTTCTTTAGCAGCATAGCAGCCTGCAAAGCAGGGAGAAAAATATTCTTTTTCATCTCTTCCACATACAGGAGAATAGACGGAAGTTGTGCAACCACATTTATCATTGCATGGAGCTGTGAGGCTTCCAATTCTACCTAAGCTGTGAAGTTGAGATTAAACACAATTATAGTACCATCATTAAAATTGTTAATGTACACATCAAGGTATTCACTAGATCCGTATATATGCTTATTAAAATAATTATTTCATAGATTTATTTAGGTATAGAAAAATAACAAAATGCACATTTAAGATAGTTCTGGCGAGATGGCTTAGTTCTTAACAAAATTCCATTTTCAACTCCAGGAATTCTTTAATTCCAGGGAGTCTGATGACCTCTTATGGTCTTTCCAGGCACAAGGCTTGCATGTGTCACATAGCATATATGCTGGTGAATAGTCAAACTCATAAACTAAAAGTAAGCAAATCTTTGCCTCCATGGGAGAGGATGTGACTAACCTTACAGAAGCACATTTCTTCTGCAAGTGATTTGCGCACTCGGATGGGAGGTTATCTGAGGTGTCCCCAGTCTCTCAGAAGACAAGGGGAATGGAATACCGGGAGGGTATCTGTGAAAGGGGGACTTGGAGGGAGGTCACCATTTGGGATGTCAATAATAAATATTTTAAAATTTTTTATACTATAATAAAATTTTCCACCAGAGTCTTTTTAATAAATAAAATCGTAACTCCTAAAATGGGTTGACATCCCTTTTTTAAAGATTTACTTTACCACTTTACTATTTACTTACACATTATTATTTATTAATACTCTCTTCCTGTTCATCTGTTGGGATTTTATGAAAAAGTATTCACACAATACTTATATTTTCCTTGCTTCTTTTGCATTAATGACCTTTATTTGTTCTTATAAGGATAGACATTTTCATGAGTCTTGTGTAGTAAAAGTAGAATATTTAAAGTGTATGAAAGGTTTTAATGTAACTACTTTAGAATTATTTTCTGTGTGTATGTGGTTTGCTCAAATGTATGTATGTGCACCCTGTGAGTTCAGCACCCATGGAAGCCAAAAAAACCATTGGATCTATTTGGAATAGGGATGATACAGTTATGATCCTCCATGTGGGTACTGGGAACCAGACCTGGGCCTCTGGAGGGAAAGCAAGTGCTCTTAAACACTGAACCACTTCTCAGCTAACATTTTGTTGTTGTTGTTGTTTAAACTTTTCACAAATCTATCAGGTTTTAACATTGTTTGTTGTTAAGAGCACAAAGGTTCGTGTGAGCACAGATCACCAGAGAAACCAGAAATTTTAAGAACATAGATGTTTCTTTCTATGTAATTTGTCCTTCAATCCAGAAATCTGCAAATTGGAAGCTATTTCTTTTTTTTTTTTTACTATTTTTTTAAATAATTTATTTTTTTTAATTTCTTTTTTTTTTGAACATGAAATGCTTTTTTATAGCATGTTTTACAAGGGGAGGGGGTAAGAGGGGCCAGGTGGTGGAAAAGTACAAAATCTTCTTGGCCTGTGCCTTGAAACATGTCATGGTCTATACGGTACACTGCCTTGAATTATGATCTACCTGCTGTTCTTCAGAAGCTATGGTACACTGCTTGAGTTATGGTCTCCCTGCTATCTTAAGATGATATGGTACTCTGCTTCTAAACTGATGATCTGCATTATTTGTTGGAGCAGATCATATTAACCTCTCTCAGCCAGGGCTGAAGGTAATCTAAATTACCTGTATAACCATTGGCTCCCCAAGTCCCATACAATAAGGACCAGAAGTGACTAGAAGCCAATAAAATCTCTATACTATATGTAAGACCATGACTACACTAGATCCTTTCTTATTCCTTACACTATATAAATGACAGAGATCCTGAGGTGAGTTTCAATGTAATTATGTACCTTGGTGCACCAGAGATTGCATTACTCCTGGAAACCTGTCCCTAAATTATATTGTGTTTGAATATGCTGACATTATTCTGCTTGGATTCAGACTCCCTGAAGATTGATCCATGTTGATAAAGTCAGTCTGAACCACATTTGCATTCTCACCTCCTAGCAGCTTATTTTTTTTCACTACTGTGAAACATAAGGGCTCCCTCAGTTGGCCCAAAACATGGAGCTCAGAGCCCTCAGATAATGTAAGAAAAGATTTCTTTAGATGAATATTATAGGATGTCAGGATACTTGAGCCTCTCACAGAAAAAGGTTCTTGACTAATGGAAGAGTACCATTCTTCCAAGAGTAAAGGATTAAGATCCAGAAAATAAAATAATCAGAGCTATATTGAATATGAAGATAGCTCATGAGAAGAGAAAAACTTCCAGTCAATTGTTTTTAACAATAGATAGATAGATAGATAGATAGATAGATAGATAGATAGATAGATAGATAGA